GGAATATGGATGGTTTTTAAGACTCAGTTGATAAGGAATTCGCTCGAAAATTTCTGGCAACACCGCTTGGCTTCGAGTAGTTGCAAGTTTCAAGCATTTCTGTATGGACTATAGGCTATAAAGTTAACAGGAGTAATTCTTTTATTGCATTGAACAACTTCGATAATAACTAGTTATTAGTTACGATAGTTATATTAATGTAAAATCTAAACAATAATAAGTAATAAAAATTCACTAAAAAATAAAGAGAGACGTACAAATTTACGAGCTGAACAGAAAAATCTATTTGCACAACCTAAAAACACACTTAAGTCTCCAGACAAGCTTAATGGAATAATTACCACATACAGGGTGTCACAAAAGCAAATATTAGAATAAAATTTAATTTTATTTGTGTAATTTTCACGTAGGTATTTAATGAAGAAGTATATTATTTATATCTAAAAAATCAATAATAATCAAGCTATAAGAGTATATCGGATTCAATTCTGCAACTAAATAATCGGCAGACTAAAAATTGCATTTCATTGCCGAGCCTTAAACTACAGTTATACTCAAAAGCTTCTTTAAAGCATCACAATAATTAATATATAATTAATTACAAGTTATGCTGTTTTTCTTATCAATAATTAAGATTTGTAAAAGAAAATGCGGTGAAAGTTGCTTCCAATATCTCTTCTCTTCATTATCACAACACACCCATTTGACATAAACATAATTTTTATATTGATGTAATTTTTTGGAAAATGAAAGTTGTCTCTAAAAGTAGGATACATGGCGTCGGCGTGATATTATTATTCGATAACGGTACTACTTGAAGACAAGTACGATCTAACGCGAAGAGCAAACTAAAAGAAAAGTGAATGATAATAGAATGCACAAGTACAGGAATTTTTTGAATATATTATTACAAGAGATTGATTTCGAGTTGCCAAGTTCATAAAGTAGGAAAAATGATACTTATATTACTATTTCGATTTTTTAGAGTTTTTCGTTTTGCGAATAATTCTTTTCAGATAATAAAGATAAAGTAGAAATTCTACATTTTCTACATAGGTAGTAGATTAAATTTACAGAACCTTTTTTACGAGTTACAAAACAATGATTCCACCCAATGGACACCTTTTTGAGCCGACCATACCAACAGGTATGGTAGGCTATTAAGATCGGCAAAATTTTTTTTTTTAATATCACTCAAAATGAGTAATTTGGATCATAAATGACCAAAATACAAAATATTTTCATGGTGTCTGTCCGTCCGTTTGTAACACGATAACTCAAAAACCGCTAAACCGATTTTAACCAAATTTGGCACAAAAATACTGTGGCACCCGAGAATCTGGCTATTCGTTTTTGGTGGGGGTGGTAAGGGGGTATGGGAGGGGGTTAAAAATTTTAAAAAATCGTAACTCCAAAATTACAGTAGCTAGCTAAATGCGGTTTTCAATTTAAGATTAGGAATAATATTTGCAACGAAATTTGTAATAACATCAAAATCAGTCAAAGTCGCAGTTTTTGAGATAATTGAGACTAAAAGAACTGCCTACCAACTTTTTATTAATATTTTTTATTATAATTTCTGAAGTAACGTCAATATTTGGATGAAAATTGGTGTCTGGGAGTTTTTTGACATGAGAAATTTGATTTTGATGTCAATATAACTCCTATTTGTAGGAGGCGCCACCTACATGTGTTTTAACTATTTTGAAGAGTAATAACTTTTCGTCCTTAGCTGTATAAAACTACTGAGTAAAAAATATACATTTACGACGTTTTCTATGTAAAAAAGGCCTCTTGGTAAAAATCGCTACGAGTGATGGTTCTCGAGATATTTTTAAAATCGAAATTATCAATACATGTCATTTTTGACTAAAATTAAACATGTTGACGAAACAGTTATACAGGGTGTCCCAGAAATAAGTGCAAGTATTTTAACTGGTAGTATAGTTCAGGCCAGAAACACACCTATGAGGTTCTTGTTTTCGCGAAAAAAAAATTGAAAAATCGGAATTTTTTGAAATTTTTTTTGGAAATTTTTATAGTTTTAAAAAACATAATTTCTTGATAATATGGCAACATAGGTAGTAGATTAAATTTACAAGAAAGAAAATCCAGAAAAGATCCAGTGGTTCTCAAAATTTTAGCAAAAAATCATTTTTTTTGGAAATTTTTAAAGTAATAACTCCGTTATTTTGGACTTATTTGAAAAACGATATAGAGAAAATATGTTTCTTTTATCGAGATCTACCACCCCTTAAAATACTTGCACTTATTTCTGGGACACCCTGTATAGTTATTAGACAGAAATCATAAATTTGAAATGTTTTTGTGCCAAAAGGGCTCAAGTTTCGTTTAGACGAAATCAGTTACATAGAATATCGATTTATAGGATGATTCTATACAAGAAAACTGGCACTACATAATTTGATTTTTGCCGCGGAAATTCTTTGTTTTTGAGAAAACTCGAATTTTTAATTTTTCTATTAAGTGTAAATTAAAACTTTACGGTGTTTTTAATACCTAGTTTTTTTTTCATTATAAAGTGACGTAAAACATTTACCTAATATAACGATGTGAACTAATTTTTATTCGAAAATATATTTTTATCAGAATCATTTTCATTGATTTTTCCACGTTTAGAAGTGCCGAAATGTGATAGGAAGATAAAAACTACATATTTTTGTTTGATTAATAATTTGCTATAACTTTTCTATATAACTTTTTCCGCGGAAATTTATCATAAGGGCGACCTTCAATATTTCGAAGTTTTCCATAGTATTCTCTTTTTACATACTTTTGGTATGGTTTAGTTGTCGTTTTTATGCTTTATTGACAATTTTTTTTTTTAATTTTCGCATTCATTGACCATAGCGATGTTAAGTTGATAAGAATAGATATTATTCATTGATCTGTGTCAAAGGTCGGGAAGAAGATCACTGCATAGTGGTGAAACAACGCATTTCCGCGGATTTTCATTTTTGTATCGGTGCTTAAAAATAACTATACAATAGAAAATAATATTAATTTTTTATATACCTATCTCATTTCATTACTTCTAAACCGTATTCAAAAAATGGCAACAACGCATTTCCGCAGAATTTCATTTTCGTATTAGTAGTTACAAAGACGTCTAAAATATGAAATAACATTAATTTTTCATGTATGTCATTTCGTTACTTTTAAACTGCATTCAATAAATGGTGACGCATTTCCGCGGAAACTTTTTTTCAATAATATACTCCCTGAGGTACCTAGATGACAAAAAAATGTTTTTTTCATTTTTAACAGATTTCGGCTAAATGAAACTTGACCCGCCAAAAGTTCAACAGAAACTGTTTTATCATCATTTTTTCAATGAAGAATTTATGATTAATTTAAAAATATAAAAAGTTCTCAAATTTATCATTTCAGTTAAATATATTTTAATACTTTATTTTTTGTCAATAATGACATGTATTGACTATTTCCATTCTAAATATCTTGAGAACGGTTGCTCGTAGCGATTTTTACCAAGATACATTTTTTACGTAAAAAGTTACGGATATGTATATTTTTTCACTCGGTAGTTTTATACAGGTACGGACAAAAAGTTATTAAGCTACATTCTAAATCAATTCGCTGGCCGAGTCGTACTTTGGCACGCAAGCTTATCATATGTACTTCAATGTAATCATTCACAACAAAATTCGACGCCAGAGTGCAAGTTGAAGTTGGATTGAAAGCTTGCAAGCTGCAAACTTCCACTTCAGCACGGAATTTTCGTTTGACAATTATGACAAATTTGACATTAAAATTTTAACAATTATTTTGTTTGTGTTGTTGTTAGCCATTTTCCTGTGAAAAGTAAATTATTATTAAAATAAAAATGAGTGAAATGCTAGTCCTATTTTATTAGGACGTGTGGTTTTTACAGTTGAGGGTTGGAACCTTTGGTGTTACACAGCAAAATAAAAACACTAAATCACCACAATACACCGAAACACTTTTACTTTTGCACTGGCAAAGTGTTTTGGTGTATTGTGGTGATTTAGTGTTTTTATTTTATTTTGCCGTGTGGTTTTGCTGTTAAAAAACGGCAATTATTGTTGCAGGTCAATAATTCGCTTGATCGAAGACCAAGGGGTTTACCAAAACCCAAAAAATGGGGCGTCCGACCCATATTAATGGCGATAAAAAGGTTTGGGTGCAACGAAAATCTTTTACAAGAAGCCCGCTTAAGCGATCCCATAATTGAGACACATTGTAGAAAAAAATCATCACTAAATGACGTTTTTGTTTCCATTTTTCTAAACATAAAAACTTGGAAAACTTAATTAACGGATTTTGACTCTTCCAAAATCAAAACAAACAACTATCCTAAAAATGTCAGGAGACGTTTAAACACGCATGCGCAAAATTCGACTTGAAATTTGTTGTGAATGGTTAATTTCGTGCCAACATTAACGTCAAAGTGCCACTCGGCCAGCGAAGTAATTTCGAATGTAGCTTTACTCTTCAAAACAGTTAAAACACGTGTATGGTACCTAACCCTACAAATAGGAGTCATATTGACATCACAATCAAATTTATATCATGTCAAAAAACTCCCAGACACCAATTTTCATCCAAATATAGACGTTACTTCAGAAATTATTTGAAACAAATCGAAATCAAAATAAAATTTCTACACCCTGTATCTCCGAAACTAAGCATTTTAGGACATACATTTATACAAACTTTGATACTTATTTTTATCTGCAGAATATGCTGTTGAAGTCTCCGGAATACAGTTCGGACCACCCTGTATAGAAGTTCCTTAATATTTTCTTTAATTTAATAAAAAAATATACGACTTTCCTACATTTTCATTAATCTAACTCTCTGAAGCCAAAATATAAATATGTTGGCTTCGGGGAGCTGATACAAGAACCGCGAGTCTAGTTATTAATATGCTCTATGATTTTATATACGTTTCTTTTTAATTTAACTAAAAAAACAACAAAATAAGAATAATTACTTACCAGCAAAATAAAACAGCGTATCATTTTGCATATCCTACATCCAAATAAAATTCTCTCTGAATCTCCAAAAGAACCGACTTTTTGCGCCGTGCGTTATAACGTATAAAAAATTCAAAAAAAAACAAACTCAAACCACCGTCGTATCGCACGAATCTAGTTTTCTATGGAGCGATTCCCTACCGCGCCGGACGCACTCGGACATGACTTCGAACTATAGGAGAGCGCTAGATTGCTAGATCTAGCGATCGCGATATAGCGACGCGTCGCGCTACAATAGCGACAGAAAGAGGGCTAAATGAGCAGCTGGTCGACCTAGTGAGCGCTCTGGAGACCGGTGTTTGGCGTGCGGCGGTCAGTCAGTCACCAGTGCCAACGCGCGAAGAAGAAGAAACGCCGACCGGCGATATGGACGAAGAAAGTGGGTCAGCCGAGGAGAAGAAGCGTGTCTTTGTGGGACCGACTTGTCAATGGGCGAAATTGCAGAGGCGTAGACCATGAGGAGGCAACTAAACGTTGTTTTAAAATATATACACAACCAAACTTATATGGAATCATTCTTTATTTCTAACTAAACTTTTTGCGAAAGAAAAAGAATAAAAATTGGTACACATCTTTAAAACAGCCTCTACACTATGCGGAGAACTCTTCGAAGCAGGACAAGGTCGCATTTTGGTTTATTTCCCGTTGTCTTGACCCACTTAGGTTTGCCTCGATCTACTTTCAATTCTTAAAAGCGCCTGAGTGAGGAGGGCGTGGGGTATATTTTTTTGGCATTTCCTGTTGCCTCGTTCAATTTTGTTTCGTCTTGAGCTATTTCCAAAACGTGACGGTATCAGTACCCGAGGCAAAGAACTTTTTTTCTATATCACAGTGAAATAACTAAACCTAGACGTTTCTAAAATAGCTGTTGTTACGATGATATTTCGTTAATTACGTCTCGTTTTGTGTTGATGTACAAGGCTGTCCGAACTTTATTCCGGCAATTTCAGCAGCATATTCTGCAGATAAAAACAAGTAAAAAACTTCGTATAAATGCCACTGTCAAAATCTAGTTTCTCATGTCAAAAAACTACCAGACAACAATTTTTATCTAAATATTGACGTTACTTCCGAAATTATTTGGAAAAATCCAAATGAAAATGATACTTCTACACCCTGTACCTCCGAAACTAAGTATTTTAGGACTATACGATTTTTTTACTTATTATTATTTGCAGAATATGATGCCGAAATTTCCGGAATACAGTACAGACCACCCTGTATGTACCGTATGATCGAAAAAAAAACGGCGTCCAGTTGGGTTGGAAATGACTGATCGATGACATTTCCCATATAATTTTACATATATAAAATGACAGCGATCTTCATTTCATAGCTATCGCTGACGCCGTTTTTTTTCGATTGTATGATATTTTGTACTTACTACCGTATGATCGAATAAAAACGGCGTCAGCGATGGCTATGAAATGAAGATCGCTGTCATTTTATATGTAAAATGATATGGGAAATGTCATCGATCGTCATTTCTAAGCCAACTGGACGCCGTTTTTTTTCGATCATACGGTATTTTGTAATACCGTTGTAATACCCAGAAGTATATTGAATTTTTTGAAGAAGTATGGGTATTTTTTTTCAATAATAATTTACATTCTAATTTTATAATTACTTGATCAAGTGATACGCCACTGCCTCTGCTCGTATCTTCATTTTTGGATTTTTAAGAAAGGAGCAAATGCACTTCACAATCAGGTTTTTATCTGGTTTCTCAACCTATTACCGATCGGCTAACATTAAATAAAGAAAATCAACGCGTATTCGTATTTTCTTATTTGTATAAATCAATAATATTATAAATAATACACATATTACGAAGCTGCGAAAGCCTGCATTTGCATACGCGTCTTGATTAATCATTATTCAAAGCGAATATGCGTTTTTCATTTAAACAGTTAGAAACAGTTTTTATATTTTATCGATACTAAATCAATAATAATATCGATTTTGTTGAATAAGCCGTGAATAGAAAACTAACGGAAGTGAAAATAGGTGAAAGTTGTTCCTACGATGTAAACATTTTTGTCGCGTACTTGTTGCAAAAGAAAGTACGTTTTTCTAAAGGTCATTAAAACCGCAATCAATGTTCAAAGAAAATAAAATACAGCGCGCCTTTTATTTTAAAAATAGTACCAACATAAAAAAACTAAAATCTTCTTTTCATAATCTCTGCCCTATTATTATCCACGACCTTTATCCAGTATCCAGTTTTGAATATTAAAAAGAAGAAATTTGCATTGTCATTTTGACGTTTTGCATTTTTGTCAAAAATATAAATAACCTAAAAAGAATTAATAAAAATAATCTTGACCCACTTTTTTCCCAATAAAGTCATGTGGTTATACAAATTTTTCTTGATATTTCTAGTACTCCATAAATGCCTGGCAAATATAGATGATTTATCCGACAATGAGTTTGCAGAGTTTGAGGAATTTGATGAGACCGAAGCAACAGTAGTAGGTGATGATCAATCGTCCTCAAAAGAGAGTGAATCCGATGAATTTGAACCGGCGTCTTCTAAACAAGAAGACGCATTTGCTTTGGATGATGACGACGAGGTTTATTAATGGTTTATTTATAAAAATTTCTTAATAAGTAAGAATTTTTAAGGTCCTTGTTGATATCGAGGTAGACTCGGAGTTTGAGCACTTCCAAGACGCTGATGAATTCGAAGGGTTCGAGGATAAGGAAGAGAAACCTTTGGTTGAACCCAAAATTACAATTGCCAAAGTACCAATCAATTTAAGACAAAGTTGGGACAGTTATTACCTAGAAATATTAATGATAACTGGGTTGTTTGTGTACTTTGTAAATTTTGCTTTAGGTATGTCAGTTTATATTAAATCACAGCGGAATTCTTCATAATTTACGTTTTACAGGCAGAAGCAAGAACACAAAAATTGCAAATGCTTGGTTTCAAACTCACAAGCAACTTTTTGAAGAAAATTTTGCCATGGTTGGAGACGATGGTAATCAGGAACGAAATGAGAATGTTAGTTTGATAAAGGAGAGAGAAAATGTATTTACTCTGTGGTGTAGTGGAAGAACCTGCTGTGAAGGAATGCTCGTTGAATTGAGACTGCTAAAAGTAACTTAAAAAAATGTTTAATAGTTCCAAAACCAGAATCTAAAAAAAATGTTTCAGCGACAAGACTTAGTGGCTATTATTGCCAACATGATGAAGCCTTCTTTGGATCAAGTTCACGTAACAGTCCGTATGAACAAAGAAGACATGGATAGTTTTATTTTTGCAGCAGCCAGTAAAAAAACAGCATTACACTTTACCAAAGAACTCCAAGACATTAGTGTGTATTGTCCTGAAAGAAAGGTAAGTTTATTATAAGTTTTTAATTAATTTAACAGGTTTTTAGTGATGATAATTTCAGGCTGGTGAGAAATTTAATATTCCCGCTAGTTTTCAAGTAATGTCCGAAATAGGAGAAGCTACTTCTGCTATGCTAGATTCAAAAGTAGTATCAGTCCTGAACAAATACGGAGAATATATAGATTATATTCACTTTAGCGACCAGTATTCTGGTGCAAAACCCACCGAAGAAGCCTCCAGTGGTGCACTTAAGCAGCCTGACGTCGAAAAGGTATTTTTTATTTAATTTAATATATACAGGGTGGCGCCGCTCATACAAAGCACAGGCTTCAAAGGAAACGACAGTTTGTATTGAAATTACATTTTGTGAGCATATGCAGATTAATTTAGAGCATCTTTTAAAAATATATAGAGTTCTACATCTACAGGGTGTCCCAAAAATAAGTGCAAGTATTTTAAGGGGTGGTAGATTTGGCCAAAAGAAACATATTTTCTCTTTGCCATTTTTAAAATAAATTGGTATAATAACCGAGTTATTTAACTTTACGTAATGACATATGCCATCTGATATATTAGTATTATTTAATATAAGGACTATAAAATTATGTACCGCTTGAACAATTCGTCTTTGTTATTATTACTATTATTATGTTCTTTAGGTTCTTAGATTTGGGTTCAATGTACCTGTTAAAGGAGTGCCTTTAGAGGAGGCCCTGCCAAGACTGAAACCTCTAATGATTATGGTATTTTACTGTATAGATAAAATTAAGAGATACCGTCTAACCAAAGAAGGTAAAAACAAGGCTGATAAAAATCGTCAGAAAGTTGAAGAGATTTTCCTGAAATCCACGCATCAGGCACGCGCCGAAGCTGCGGCTGCGCGCCGTGAGGAGAAGAAACGTCAAGAGAAAGAGAAGATTCTGGCTGAGGAGGATCCAGAGAAACAAAGACGTTGGGAGGTTAAAGAGGAAAAAAGACAGGCCAAGAAACGGGCCCCAAGAATGAAGCAACTAAAAGTTAAAGCTCTGTAAAAGTTATGAAGAAAATAATGTTGATTTTTCTCGAAGAGATGCAGTACAATTTCTAATAAATCTTTTTCTTAAAAGCTCCTAGATCAAATATAGATTCTTATATCTGGTATCTTTAAGATATCGCTCTGTATTATTAAGGTGAATGCAATAAACTAAATTATAAATTCTTTCTATCTCTTGTGTTTTATTATATCCTACAGATATATAAAAAAATAATTAACTTTTTAATATAATTGTTATAAAATATATTTTAATAAAAATGCACATAAAATATATTGATAAGGTTCAAATACGTCTTCATATATTTACATTGCATTGTTGTTTAAGATGATGTTTAATTTTATTATCTTAATATCTTATCACTTTTTTCCTTTGCTATCTTACTACTGCAAAACTTTAAAAGAATTAAATATATTTTGAAGTTCTTATTTTTAAAATCATTTTTATTGGTACGAGTAAAAACAGAGCCACTTGACTCAAATTATTCAATAAAAATTATAATTTTTATTTAATTAATTTCCATTTAATTTGTTCTTTTCCATTATGCTCTGAAATACAGGGTGTCTCAATATTCCGTGGACTTAGAACTACTACGTATTTTTGCAATCAAAATACGTGACACAATTTACCTCTATGCAAAAGTGCTTCGAGGGTTTGTCCGCTAGAGGGCATTAAGTTTAAAATAGATTTTAGATAATAAAACATTAATATATTTTTAAAAATTCTAAATATTCCTAATACGGACCATAATACAGCGTCTACCACAGAGCACAATTGTATCCATTGTCTAGGACCTAGGGACTTTTCGTTTGAACCAAACCATTACCATACGCGATGTCAAAAGTTGAAATCATGAAAAATTACTTGAAAAAAACTAAGTTCAATCCTTTGAATAATAAGACTAAGGAAGGAGTATAATGCTATCCATGTATTCATGCATGGTGGGCGGAAAAAGCGCCATAAAAGCACTCTAGGGTGGGGATCTTTGACAGTTCTGTTTGACGATGCATTTGACACATTTGAATTTGATTTGAAATTTTGTGGATTTGTCAGTCTTTACGGAGCTTATTTTATGTTATTTATTATTTATTCTACTACTGATAGTTGTATAAAGGTAGTAAATCTAGATGGAAATTGTGGCAGAACTTAAATTAATAGTGACTATCGTGATTTATCGAAAAAGACTCTAAAATAGTTGGTTGTGTAGCGTGCGGTAGATCTCGGCAAAAATTGAGTGAAATAATGGAACAACTTTTCGCTAGTAAGTGACTATATAATATACATACGTGTAGTAAACCGATCATTTATGAAATTCACTTAAATTCACTAAATTATATATTTTTCTTGCATTTTAGCTTTTATTTATTACTTGTCAAAGATTAGATGTCAAAGAATTTAGATACGTTAATTTCACTTAGTTGCTTCAGTAGCGTATCGGATGTTTGTGGTAATAAATACTTATTATAACTTATCTATTCTTATTAGAATTATATATTTTTATAACAATTTTAATAACTACCCACATTTATTAACAACGTAAAATAAAACAACAAATTATTGAGTCTACCCCACGTCTACCCTACATCATAGTTTTACATTTTTTAAATAAAATTAGAACGACACTGATAAACCGGAATCTTTGAATAAGAAGACTAATGGTGGGTTCATACAGCCAAATAAAATAAAATAAGAATAAAATAAAATAAGAAATAAGGAATTCTTATTTGTGTGCGTTCATACAGTCAAATAAAATAAAATAAGAAATATATAATTGCTCATGCGCAGTACGATGAGGCTGGATAAAAGTTAACTTTTACGATTGTTTATAGTAATTTTACCATTTATAGTATATTTATTTGTTCGTTGCCTACTATATTATATATTTTACTTATGTGAAATTATAAAATAAATTAAATCCAAACTGAAAATATTTGTAGGTTAGAATTAAGCGTCCGCAAAGCCGTTTAAAATAAAATAACACATAAAATAAAACAAGAAATTAAAAGATAAAGACTTCTTATTTTATTTGTTATTTTATTTGGCTGTATGAACGCATGTACGGTATCCCATATAACCAACTTTCTTATTTTATTTTATTTTATTCTTATTTTATTTTATTTGGCTGTATGAACCCACCATAAGGCTGGTATTTATAGTTGCATCTCGAGCAGGGTTCGGAAGTAGTTAATTAAGACGTAATTTACCTGATTAACTACGTGTAGTTTTTCTTCAAAAACTACGTCTTTTCCCGTTCATTATCTACATGAAAACTACGTTAATAAACTATGTATTGATATTATGAATAATTTTCCTTTGTATGAGGTGTTATAGAGATAATATGATGTAAATATTATATTTAAAGCCATATTTCTTCTGTTTTCTTAAATTCATTATGTGTTTTTAAAGCTTCAACTTGTTATAACCTCACCTCAAACCTTTGATATTTGACATAGGTTACATAAACTACACCCTCTACATAAACTACATTAACTACATGTAATGTAGTTTATGTAGTTTTTAAAAGTAACATGTAGTTTTCCGAACCCTGATCTCGAGACGCCAAGACGGTCTTGGGCTCTCGAGAGCGGAATCCACAGAATACACGAGCAAACGTCATTTTGGAGATTGCGATTTTCATTTTGGAGATTGTCATTTTGGATAGTTTATGTGATCTGTGGATAGTTTCTTAACCTAACTTTTTTAGTAAACAAAATAAATCCCTTGTAAATCCGTTTTGTCTGATTAAACAGTTTTGAATTTTGAATATGTTAGAAGAGTTTGAGGATATTTTGGACCATGTGGAAGAAGAAAATCGTCCTCGAGTTCCAAAAAGGTATATACGGGATGCAGGAAATCCAATAGAAATGTTTAGCGAGGGGGATTTATGCAATATAGGTTTAACAAGGCTACAATTACAGAAACTATTTTACCTCTTATAAATTGAAGACTTGCAAAAACCTACCAATCGTGGTTTACCCATTCTCCCCGTTGTTCAATTACTAATTTGTTTACAGTTTTATATGACTTGTAATTTTCAGATGGTAAATGGAGACTTGCGTGGTGTTAACCAACCTACAATAAGCCAGATAATCAAGAATAATGCAATAATGTGGAAGTATTTCAAAATCGCAAAAATTTCTTTTAGTCTAAATGTTCAGGTCCCAAAAGGGAAATTATGGATATTATAGTTGGATATCCAGGGTCAAGTCATGATAGTGTTATATTCAATCGAAGTAATTTAAGAATTCTAATGGAAAGGCGTGATATTCGTGATTTACTTCTTGGAGACAATGCATATAGATGTAGGCCAATTCTATTGACTTCTGTTCTACAGCTAGGTAATCAACAAGAAACCAGGTATAACTTTGCCCATAGAAGAAAGCAAAATGATGAAGGGGACTTGGTAAAAACGTCTTCCATTTCTCTGAGGTTTACAAAACAACTGTTGCTATTATTTGTGCAACAGCTGTTCTTCATAATATTGGTTTAAGGGAAAATTTAGATAATTTTGAAGATGCTAATTTACACATTCCAATTATAAATAAAAAGGAAGAGGGTTAGATTTTTGAAGAAATGTTATGTATTTATTGTATTAATATATGTATATCTAGTAATTATGTAATATGTTAAGTAATGTTCCAAGGTAACTAGTACCTATATAATAATTTTATTTACTTTTCTATTAGTGTTAAGTTAGTGTTTATATATTTACATGTAACATATTTTAAGTAATTTCTTATAGTCTATTATTAGTTATCATAAAAATACTGTTTTTCTATACTTAAATAACATATGATTTCTTAGTAGTTTTACGCTCACTATGACCAGACAGTTAAGTGCTTGTTTTAACTGGTCACACAGAATTTTCCCACTAATACATTAAAACTAAAAAAATTGTCTTTTTATTTTCTTCATCATGAATATTTATATAAATATCATATCACATAATATACAATATTGGATGTATACCGTATACCTATAATTTTCAAGATTTTATTCCTTGGTGTAAATTCTGTATTCTTATTGAGTTGACCACTCTATATAAAGTTGATACTCCATGTTTTATAGTTTTATTTAGAATAATATTTCACAATACACATTCTATGATTATTGCGTTTTTACTGCTTCCTTATTTCTTCTCGTCTAGATGACATTCTTCTCTATTCTTTTTTTTCTAGTCTGCTACGTAAATCAGTGACTGACAATTTTTGCCTTTACTTATAAATTTAATTTATTCTCTGACACTCGTCCAACCTGACTATGTCTTAGTCTCCAAGACTTAATTAACAAAACTAACTTAAAAATTACCTACAACAATAAAAAAAATATTCATTCTAAATTTATGATATTTAAAGATTTTAAAAATTTATGAAACTATTCAAAACTAAATAAACCAAAAGTAGTATTCATTAAACATTAAACATATTCTTCTAAATACTTCTGTTTATGTGTTTTTCTGTGTCATGGGGTAGAACTTGTGTCACTGTAAATAGTCCCTTATATTTAGTAGCACTTTTCATATAGACCATGTCTCCTATCTTTGTGATACCTTTAAATCTATATGTTTATCATAATTTTTTTATACTTCCTTTGTTCCATTTCTATATGTTCTTTGACCTCTTTTCTCAATTTTTCAGGTAATTGAATACTTTTCATTCTCTACCGTCAATAATCTCACTTATCCATCTTCAATCTTCGGAATATATCCATATAATAATTCAGGAGTTTTTTTCGCCAGTGGATTTATTCACAGATGTATTTATAGCTCTTTCTATATTCTTAATATATGTATCCCATTTGTTGTTATCATCTGCACAAGCTGAAGGCAGTATCATTGGAATAATAATGCTGTTCAACCATTTATGGTTGCATCATACAAATTCACCCAAATGTTCTGCTATTAAAATGGACACCCTCTTGATAATCTGGCTTATTGTAGGTTGGCTAATACCAAGCATGTCTCCATTTAATATCTGAAAACTACAAGTCGTATAAAACCGAAACAAATTAGTAATTGAATAACGGGGAGAATGGGTAAACCACGATTGGTAGGTTTTTGCAAGTCTTCAATTTCTAAGAGGTAAAATAGTTTCTGTAATTGTAGCCTTGTTAAACCTATATCGGCATAAATCCCCCCTCGCTAAACATTTCTATTGGATTTCCTGCATCCCGTATATATCTTTTTGGAACTCGAAGACGATTTTCTTCTTCCATATGGTCCAAAATATCCTCAAACTCTTCTAACATATTCAAAACTGTTTAATCAGACAAAACGGATTTACAAGGGATTTCCTTTGTTTACAAAAAAAATTGGGTTAAGAAACTATGAAACTATCCACAGATCACATAAACTATCCAAAATGACAATCTCCAAAATGAAAATCGCAATCTCCAAAATGACGTTTGCTGGTTTATTCTGTGGATTCCGCCCTCAAGAGCCCAAGACCGTCTTGGCGTCTCGAGATGCAACTATAAATACGGGCCTAAGGAAGGAGCATAATGCTATCCATGTATTCATGCATGGTGGGCGGAAAAACCACCATAAAAGCACTCTAGGGTGGGGATCCTTGACAGTTCTGTTTGACGATTCATTTGACACATTTGAATTTGATTTGAAATTTTGTGGATTTGTCAGTCTTTACGGAGCTTATTTTATGTTATTTATTATTTATTCTACTACTGATAGTTGTATAAAGGTAGTAAATCTAGATGGAAATTGTGGCAGCACTTAAATTAACAGTGACACTATCGCGATTTATCGAAAAAGACTCTAAAATAGTTGGTTCTGTAGCGTGCGGTAGATCTCGGCAAATATTGAGTGAAATAATGGAACAACTTTTCGCTAGTAAGTGACTATGTAATATACATACATGTAGTAAACCGATCATTTATGAAATTCACTTAAATTAACTAAATTATATATTTTTCTTGCATTTTAGCTTTTATTTATTACTTGTCAAAGATTAGATGTCAAAGAATTTAGATACGTTAATTTGACTTACCTGCTTCGGTAGCGTATCGGATGTTTGTGGTAATAAATACTTATATAACTTATCTATTTTTATTAGAATTATATATTTTTATAACAATTTTAATAACTACCAACATTTATTCACAACGTAAAATAAAACAACAAATTATTGAGTCTACCCCACGTCTACCCTACATCATAGTTTTACATTTTTTAAATAAAATTAGAACGACACTGATAAACCGGAATTTAAGTCGGCCATATTTGAGGCCCATCGCGGTGTACCTAAGATTTTTGATATGCTCCTTCCTTAGTCTTCTTATTCAAAGGTTCAATCAAAAGCAATAAAGATAAATTATTAAGAATATATATTCCATTTTTTATTATAACACAAACATTAACACGGGGTTAAATAATACTGATATGAATTAAATATTTTTATAAAAAGTAAAAAAACATATACGACAAGAATACTGGCACATAAAATACACTGAAGATATAAGGTATACGTGTACATAACATTTTAAAATAATCTTAAGACATATTTTACAATGGTTTATATAAATGCATTTACGTAAGTAAAGATCTAGAGCAGGTCTATCAACCTGAATTTTTTCATCATAATATTTAAAAAAATAATTTATATTTTTCTATATAAATAACATAATGGCAAGTTAATGCGACTAGTAGTAACGAAAAAGCATTTATAGATGCAACTTAAATTAGTATATTGTATATTTTTTATCCTCTATAAAATACTGTAAAATCTAGAACTGGTATATTAGTTATCTGTAATATTATTATTAATAATATATATATTATTCAATATATTTTATTTTAAATGTTGGAAGTGGAAGACTAAAATAGTCATCATTGATTTCAAATTATAAATACATGATTAGTTTTTCTTTGCTTTAATATCTGTTATATCCATTTACAATAATAACCGAATTAAGAGGTTTAGGCAGGTCTCCTAGTAGCTTCAGATTCAAGTTTATAACGGTTTTCGTAAACAAATTATCAGCTAAATCTACAAAATCCCCGATTATTATGTTGACACCTCCCCTTCCCGGGATCTGTTTACTGATCCAACCAGTTCTCTGATCCTCAAACTCGATGGCAAGCTTCTCTTTTAACGTATCTAAAAAATATACAGAGTGTTACATGAAAAAGTGCGAAAAAATTCAGTAGACTGTAGAAAAAATTTCTAGAGACAAAAAGGTTCTGAATTTATTGTTATACACTAAAAAATATGTAAAATTTCGTCTGGAGAAAATACCCTGTATACAAGCATAAAATACAATACTAATACATAATTATACCAAAAAATAGCAAAAGAATAAGTGATAAAGACAGTTACATTAAAGCGATAAAAATTTTCAATCTCTTACCAACTGAATTGAAAAATTTAACAGTGGAAAAAAAAAATTTGAAGAGAACTATCAGGTTTTGGCTAAAGCGGAATACTGATCGCCTGTAGCTTAAGTTATGAGTAATTGATCTTTATTTTTGTTTGTATTTATATTTATTTTTGTTTCATACTTCTTAGTTTTTTAGTTTTTTAGTTTTTAGTTGTTAATTTTTTAAGTTAAACCGGTCCGCGTACAGAGCTCTGTCTCTCTGCGGTTTATCATGTATTTCTACATTGTAAATTAACTGGTATTAATAAATAAATAAATAAATAAATAAATAATCTTAATTCTTACTGAATAAGTGCGCGAAAATATCAGAAACACTAGGCGTCAGAACACACTGCGTGATGAACCCTACATTTTCTGACCTTTCCTTAATACCATTGTCTAAGGCGTTAAAAAGGACATTAGGGTCAATTGTATCAGGCCAAGGGCTGGGAAAACTTGCGGAAGGCCAAAATAAAGGCTGACCAAAACGCGCCGCGTCTGATCGGTATATCACAATTACCTAAAAACATATAAAAAACCGTTATTTTGATAATTTTCCTAAAATAAACGCGATTAATACTTGATATCTAAATTGATTTGTCATGTAGTCTAGAGATAAATGGTCCATATGATCCGAATAAGGCAGTAGCTTAGTGCCATACATCTTGGTAATCATTTGCATCAGTTTAGAGTGGGTTTCTTGTGTGAATCCGTAAAAATGCTGACAATCCAATATTACAATCTATAAACAATATCAAGAATGCTTTTATATTTTTTAGAATTAAGAAAAAGTCCGGTCCTGTTGACTAGGAGTCAATTGAACTACTCTAAAAAGATAGGGACGTGCAAAAAGATCGATATGATTTTCCCTCTCAAAAAAATATCGATTGATTTTTTTAAGAATATCGATATTATTCTATAACACTGCTTTTTTAATTCATTTATTTATTTTGTTACATTTTTAGTAATAAATTTGATATATTAGATAACAAATTTTTGATTTCCCTCTGGATAGAATTTTACAATAAAAAAGTAATAAATAAATTAAAAAAGATAATAAATTAATAATAATCTAATAAATTAAATATCTATTTAATTTATTAGATTAAAATTTAATTTACTTTATCTAAAGTAAATTAAATTTAATAAAATTTAAAGTCAATTTTCAACACGGTGTTGACAATAAAACTTTTAAACATGAACTGAAAAAAAAAATTATATTTAGAAATAAAATCCGGTCCTGTCTACAGGACATTTGAACTACCGCTGAAAAATGAACTGGCAAACGTGAGGTTTACTTTGGTGAGGTTATGATAGCGAAATCAAAATATTTTTACACATAAAAATGTAAAAATACATTTATATTCATCAAAAATGGTAAGAATTTCGGATATTAATCAGTAGAACTAAAGTAACAAGCTCCAAAAATTGATTTTAGGTGATAGATACATGCCCAACATGCAGCAAACAGCTTGAACCCAAACAAATTAACATGACCCATGCAATTTTGATTTGTACCGATCTAAAATGCCCCTATCCCGTAAACGAAAGCCAGTGTATCGTTATCACGAGAGGTATAGACGATATTAATAAAAAGTTAGATTTATCAGCGATAAGTCAAAGAAATAATGACAAAGATAATATGACACCATTAATGGACGAACTTGAAGCATTCCTAAACAGCCAAGCAGCATCTTTGGAATTTACAAGCAACAACACAACATATGAAAATAATACAACAAATGAACTAAGTTCAGAATTAGACAATTTTCTTGTTGATTTATTACAGTAAGAAAAGTTAGGTACTTACTTCATGAGAATGCGTTTCTAGAAACAAAGAAATATCACTTAACACACCTTTTACTTCGAAAGAATACATTCCGTGACAAAAATAAAGATCGGTATCATTTTTCTTTGTTGAAATTCTTAAATCGAAATATCTGAAATAATAAATAGTTTCATCTAATAAAGCTTGTTTTTCTTTGTTTCATTTTAATACCTAATCCCTGATTTTAACTGATCATTCACTGGAAAACTTTGTGTCTTGGTCCAACGAGCTATTATAGTTTTTACACAGATAAGCCAGTGCAAATCTTGTAGTAATTCACCTGAGTCCGGTGAAACACCACAAGCAGCTGTTATATTTGAAGTAAAACTATCATGTGAACCTAAAAAACATCTTTATATCTATTATTCGATAGAAATGTCTATATTTATCTATAACCTGGAATGGCTAAATAAATTATAGGAACTAATTTCAAACTTTGCGGTAATTTTGACATCCAATTCTCCAAGTCCCTGGTTAAATCAGTATTCTCTCCAATAATTCTTTCAATTTTGGTGGAGTATTCATCTTCTGGACTCAAATTTCCGTACATTTTAAAGGGAATAGAAAATAAATGTTATTGTCTTGAATGGAATAGCATAGACTGCACTCCACATAATGTCATCGTAGAGAGAGAACAGTGGTAGCTGCAAATTAATCCATATTACATACAATAGAGAATGAAGATGTTTATCTAAACCTGGCGACATGAAATTGATTTTTAGTTTGGAACTATTTCTGTACTATGTAGGTAATTTTACACCTGCGTTATAAGCCCTTTTGCAAGGAATTAACACAAAGGAACATACATACGTGTCACATTCTGAAACTGTACTATCTTATTCGAAAAAAATGATTCGCTGGATCTTTTAATTTAGTACATGACATTTTGTAATTAATCAGTTGAATTTTTACTAAAAATATTTTTCATCTGAAAAATAATATTTTAGGTTAGATTTCATAATATATGTATTTTTAGTTGCCTAACTTCAATTCATTTTGATGTATGCTATCTAGGAGTCAATGGCAAAGTTTTAAACACTTTCAGAGTTCATTAGATTTCTGTAAATAAAAAACGGAGAATAGTTCAGTTAGTACTTGGTAGATGGCACTGTCAAACAAATTTTTTAAAAAACTATTTAAATAAACGCAATTTTGTTATTTTATTCTTTTCTAAATTTAAGATAACATACATGACAAGTAATATTTCACTCTCTGTAGTGGAAATTTTTGTTTTAAAGCAATCCAAACAGGTTTTTTGATGTTAAAACTCACAATTCTTCCGATAACAATGCGTAAATTATAATAACGACCAGAAAAATAAATCGTCTGACAATGGTAGTCGTTTCAGCTGTCTTTTATTCTTGTTTTTTTTGTGTTGTACGTCGAGGCGGAGTTCGATTCATTACGCTTTTCGAATTTTTGATTTGTAATCGTCCTTTATACAAGCTGCAGTTACGTAAGCATGATTCGCTTAATCGAAACTACTTGGACTCGGAGGATGTGCTTAAGAAAAGCACGCCTCGTCTTCTTATTGGTCGCGAATAAAGCATCCTTTCTTTATAGATGCTGGAGCTTCGAGATATACAGGGTGTAACGTAGTTTATTTCGTTATAAAAATGTCGTTTCTAGGTATATTTTTTATATCTCGTGTATTATTTAGTTTGTTGTTACATTATTTGTGTATTACAAGTGTTTATTTTTGTTCATAGCTTTATTCTCCAAAAAAAAAGCCCAAATATGGTAATATTTGGGTGTTTTAAAATACCGTCAATGATAATGCGTTTATCTACTCAAGAATATTCTATTTTTAAGTTACTTCTTTTTTTATTTACTCTATGAAACATATAGTGTATAGGTATATAAACTGGCACATATTAGTCTATGCCTATTTGCTAGAACAACATACATGCGTGTTTTGCTTTGATAAAATGGTTTTCTTGTAACTTTTAATCCATATTCTAAGAAGCCCATCTTGGCGCGACAAGATTCGACTTACTAGAAGTACAGCTGAGACTGAGAAATAGGTAAATATACACCTTAATTCTGTATTCACACTTCACACCCTCTGAATTTTTGGAAAGAATCTGTGATGATAAGTGAATCATCAGGACTACAAAAGTATGAGGTACATAATTCTTGGAGCAACAACAAAAAGAGGCATTTAATATTCTAAGAAATATTTTTTGTTTGATAATTGTATTGTACGTGTAACATCTATTCAAAAAACTCAACTGTACCTAAAATATTTTCTACCGAAAAGTTCAAATAGAAGAGGGTATATATTATTTATTTATCAATCTGAAGAAAAAATCTACCGATTTGTTTTGCTTTCTACAGATTTTCTTAACATATTATCAGCAATTACTAAAATAAGAAGCTATATAGATTTCAAATTTCAACACTTTAGAGACGACATCGAAAAATTGACAGAAAATACAATTTACCTACGACTTAAATGACAGCAAACCGTCATTATCATTTATCCTCTCACTGGATCGACTTAATATATAGTCTAGCCGAAGAGAGAATCCCGGACAGTGACAGTTGTCTCTGTCATTTTAATACGTAGGCAAATCGTATTTTATGTCAGTTTTTGGATGTTCCTTGTCGCAATCTTTCCTGGCTCGTTGGACAGACTATACAATATTTATATAGATTTCAAATTTCAACACTCTACAAATGACATCGAAAAATTGATAGAAAATACAATTTACCTACGACTTAAATGACAGCAAACCGTCATTATCATTTATCCTCTCACTGGATCGACTTAATATATAGTCTATCCGAAGAGAGAATCCAGGACAGTGACAGTTGTCTCTGTCATTTTAATACGTAGGCAAATCGTATTTTATGTCAGTTTTTGGATGTTCCTTGTCGAAATCTTTCCTGGCTCGTTGGACAGACTATACAATATTTATTATCAAACATGCAAACACAAATATTCGAGTAATATACGTGGTAATAGTCTGTCTCATGAGAGTTAAGATTTCGACAGACGACATCCAAAAAAGAAATAGACAGAAAATACCATTTACCCGTGAATTAAAATGACAGATACAACTGTCACTGTGATGGTTTGGTAATTTTTTGTATGAGAAGTATTGATACAATATACAAACTATTGCAACATCGAAAATGAAACATTTTTGTTTGAAATGTTTCATTTTTGTTTTGTTGTACCTATTAACACAAAAAAATAAAAATGTGTGACTGCGCGGTATTACCCCGGCTTTTGGGTAATACCGCATTGAGGTATTTTAAGGCAGTTTAACTAAGACTTTATTGTACATAAAATACAGGTATATAACACAAATAATAAAAAAGATGATAGTGAGAAGAAAAGTAAAGATACATTATTGTATATTAACATAAAAAACACATTCTAACACAGATATTTATAAAAAAAAGCAGCATGTGCCCACTTTGAGCAGACATTACAGCCGATACCAGACCTCGTTGTCCCTTCCAAACTCTCCGCAAATTAAATAGATGTCATCTTCATGGGTTGGGAAAGGATCAACTTCGTCTAAGTCATCATCAACACAAAGCTCGCTTTCAGAATAACTCTCAGGTTCAGTATCATCGTTATCAAACTTAATATTGCGAATGTGGTTCGGCTTCTTGTTGATTTTTTTACTTTCTAAAGTTGTTGAGAGTTTTCTTTTCTTCAATGCAATATTTGCTTCTCTTTTCTGCCTTTTGTCTCTTCTCTTTTCCTTCATATTTACATTACTTGCTTCTTTTTTTCTCTTTTCTCTCTTCTTTTTTCTACCATAGTTTCCAGTTCTGATTTAAGTGCATCCGCTGACCATTTGCCTTTCTCTGATGCCCTTTGGTATGTTTTGAGCATCATAAACTAAAAGAAACAAGCTATAAAAAAATTATTGTTTGTTTTGTTTTTGCGCGGTATTTCCCCGGGAGCCGTTTTTTTTACCTAAAAATTTATTTTAGCAAAAGTATTTACATTTTATTGGTGATCGCTTGCTTACTAGTAAGTGGAAATAAAATCAAGCTGCTTTTAATAATCACAGGAACTACTAATTATCAACCGATTAAATTGCCGAAAAGATAGATGAAAAACGCATCTGGCACTAAAATGTTCGTTATCGGTTAACGACTGCCGGCAATTATTCCAAACTTTTGGAGCAAACTTCATATGGCTTATGCAACACTTCCAGTCTCACACCTGTGTATTACTAGTTGTAGTTTTTTCTACAGGGGCGTGCGCGGTATTTCCCAGCGGACGCTAGCGCAACGCCAAACGCGACGCTGTCTGCCTGAACGGTCTAATTTAAGTTAAGTGAATTGATTTCATTTCGACACGCGGACGCGACGCAAACGTGACGCGACGCTCGACGCTCTCACCCTGAATGTACCTTTAAGCTTTTTAAAAATTTTTACTAGTTCAATAAAACACAAAGTTTACTTAATCTGGATGAGTTGCATATAGAGGCCACTAGCTTTTAATTTTAACAGCCGGGTGGCCGGGGTTCAAAGATCTTAATAAAAGGGCGCCACGAGATTATACTCTATGAACTCGGCATAAAAGATGTTACTATTAAGTAGACTTCAACACTAACCTCGAACTGTTGAGTGTAACTACCATGAACTTCAAATATATTATAATTACTTGAACTTAAGTGACTCTAACTTAAATATGAGACTAGACTGTAAATAATACTACTAAAAATATTTAAGCAATTTATTGAAATATCAAAAGAGTTAAATGTATAAAGAAAATGATGAAATGTATATGAAATGAAGTAAAGTTTAAATCGATAAGAATAAATGAAAAATGAAGATGGTCTAATAAGCTATTCTAAAACTAAGACGTCATCCCCCTTAACTTAAACTAAGTATGCTCTAAGGGCGGAATACAAATAGCAAACTAAATCTAAACAGTCTTACTCTAATCGATGTACAATCTTGAAACAGCTCGGAAGTTCCTCCGGCTGAGCTACGGTGTATAGCTATGGGGTGGCTACAGCAGGGTACAGCAGCTCGGTGTACTGTCACTGGAGCCCACGGATGTCAGCAGACATACAGATGAAAGGCAAGTTGGTGAGGTTTCAATTGGCGAACATAAAAAAACCCTAAATAATATTGGTTGTCTCAGAAAAGAGCCTCAATTATAGAACAAGGACTAGCACAACGTGTAGGAGTTAATAAAGGTAATAAAGAAGGACTAATCAAATCTGAACTTTACCTCAACGAGGGTTTATGATGTCCAACGGGTACCTCTACACGGACAACAGGTACGAATGGAATTCTGGACTGTTCTGTGCTACGGTCTGGATCGGTCTTCTTGCTCTACAATTACGAACAACCAAATAAGACTTAAGAAAGATAACAGTCTTTCTACACCACGTGGGCGTGGAAAAGTCGAAAACCAGACAACAATATGAACAAAAATCAGTTGAGCATTGACTTAGAATAGGCAGAAGAATTATAGCATACCTTCGAACTATTCGGGGACTTCTTGGGCACGTGGAATCGGAATATCGGTCGGAAAATTTGGCTATTTTAATCCCATTGCAGAAATTGGTCGGCGGTCCATACAAATCAACAAAATCCAACCACGTCTCTGACCAAAGGTGTTTCGGAAGCCTTAATCCTTCTCTAGGAAGACCTGCTATTCACCAACAGGGAATGCTTCACGAAACGGCAGCCAGTTCTTCACGACGACACTCTTCAGCCGGGGAGTACACAAGAAGTGATGCAAGGATTCGATTTCCTTCACAAAATCAGATTTCAACCGGAAATCTCCCTCCAGGATATAGATAGAGAACTATATATCTTGACTAGTTCAACTCACAAAAATGCATAGATAAAAAACAATGTTCTAGAATATTTTCTCCTCAGCCATATTCCATATCCGGTCAATGAACGAACTTAACTCACAAATTCCCACAATTAAATGAACGAATTGCACACTGCGATCCACATCAA